AGCAGCAGCTGTAGCAGCAGCAGCAGCCGCTGCAGCAGCAGCAGCAGCGGCCCCCCCGAGGGGCCCACACCTTCCTCACAGCCCCCTCCTGAAGCCGTGCAAGTTGGGGGGCCCCTGGGGGGCCCCAGGGTCACTCCTGGGGGCCCCTCCTGTACCCTGGGGGCCCCCACTATTGAGATAAGGCATCTGGTGGCTGCAGCAGAACGGGCAGCAGCAAGAGGCTGCGGCTGCTGCCCTTCTTTCTGGAGCCAGGCAGCAGCAGCAGCAGCAGAAGCCTCTTTCAACCTCACCTGGGGCGTCAGGGGCCCCTGGGGCCCCTGGAGTCCCCAGGGGGGCCCCCAGGGGAGCCCCCTCCAGGGGCCCCCCTTGACAGATCCCCCTCTGCAAATTGCCCTGCCTCTCCTTCGCCCCCTACTGAGGGCCACAGTGAGGCTCTCAGTGGCCCTCAAAGCTGCTGCAGAGGCAGCTTTGGGGCCCCCGGGGTCCCCCAAGGGCCCCCTGGGGGCCCCCAGGGGCCCCCTGGGGGCCCTCAGGGGCCCTCTGGGGCCCCGCATGGGGCCCTTGGGGACCTCCAGCGGGTCCCTGGGTGCCCCCGAAAGGCCCCCGGAGTTCCCCGGGGGGCCCCCAGGGGCCCCCTGGGGAACTGCGGGGGCGCCCCCGGGGGGCCCCCGGGGTGCGTCCCATAGGGAGGCCTGCTGTTGTGGGGCCCCAGAGGGCTACGAGGGGGGCCCTCAGGGGCCCCCGGGGGCCCCTGTTGCAGAGATGCTGCAGCTGTACCACAAGTTGCTGTTTTGTTTTCTGGAGACCCTGCGCTGCGCCCTCAGAGCTGCCAGCAAACACCAGGGGGGCCCCCAGGGGGGCCTCGTGGGGGCCCCCCTGTCTATTAGGGAAGTGGCAGCAGTTGCTGGATCTTCTAAAGGCATCAATGCAGCTCTCCAGCTCCTGTCACGCATCCAATCATCAGGGGCCCCCATAGGGGCCCCCACAGGGGCCCCTACAACAGAGCTCGCAGGGGCCCCCACAGGGGCCCCCTCAGGGGCCCCCTCAGTGGGCCCCACAGGGGCCCCCACATGGAACACTCCTGGAGGGTACTGCAAGGGCCCAGAAGCCCCTTTTGGGGGCCCCCTTGAGAGTCCCCAGAAGGCCATTGGGGCCCCACCAGGGGCCCCTGACAGCGGGGCCCCCCATTTTGCTACGCCCCCCGAAAGGGTCTTGGGGCCCCCAGGGGGCCCCCAGGGTCCCCCCCGCTTGGAGGTGTGGGGCCCCGAGCTGCTGCAGCTGCAGCAAGAAGCTGCTGCAGGGACTTTGCTGCAGTCCTTCGGGTCTAGTCTCCCGCCGGGGGCCCTTTGGGGGTCCTTTTGGGGGCCCCTAGACCGCCCCACTTGGGTGGGGAGGGGGGGGGCCCCCACGGGCCTTTCGGGGTCTCCCAGTTTGCTGCTGAGGGCCCGAGTGCCTCTTGTGGGGCTGCTGCAGATCTTAGCTGCCTTCCAGGGGCCCCCTAGGGGGCCCCCTGGGGGGCCCTCTGGGGGGCCCCCTGAGGGCCCCCGTGGGGGACCCCATGAGGGGCCCCCTGAGGAGGAGGCCCCGGGGGGGGCCCCTAGCGGGCCTCTTCGAGGGATTGCAGGGGGCCCCCAAGGGGGGGCCCCCGAGTTCTGTCTAGTGAGGGCCCCCATGGCTCTGCTGCAGCTTCTTGAGAGACTCATTTGGGAGGCCCAGGGGGACTGGGGAGCCCCCGCAGGGGCTCCCATTATTCAGACAAAGGGGCTGATTTCGTGGGGTGCTGCTGCGCCAGAGCAGCAGCAGCAGCTGCTGCAGCAGCTGCAGCAGCAGCAGCAGAGCCGGCTGCAGCAGCAAGACGCAGACGAAATGGCCGAGGTGGAAAGGCTGGTCTTTGCTGCTGGAGTTCTTTCAGAGGCCCGCGCAAGAGGGGGGCCCCCCAAGGGCTCTCAGGGGCCCTTTTTCTTGGTAAACGCACCTGCCCCCAAAACATTAGGGTTTAGGGTTTAGGGTTTATGGTTTAGGGTGTTGGCTCGGGGGTTGCTTTCTGTTTCGCTTCTCAGGCACTTGCTCTAGTGAGTGAAGCCCTTATTAAAAGGCTAGACATATTTCTTTCAACTCCCCCGGAGGCCCTGCGGGGCCCCCTCCAGGGGGCCCCCTGGGGGCCCCTGCAGGGGGCCCCCAGGGGGCCCCAAG